TTTATTGCTGAAGTGTGTTGAAATGTCTTCTTCTGCATTCTACTGTACGGATGTAAATGTACTTTCCCTTCAGCCTGAGGCTTATTCATTTCACTTTATTTTATATTTGGCAAAAATAAAACTTTTTTATTTTAAAATCAAACAAGCAAGCCCTGTCCGGATTTAAAATGCAACGCAAAAGTAACGTAACGCATTACTTTCCATAAAAAGTAACTAAGTAACGTACTTACTTTTTTATGGAGTAACGCAATATTGTAATGCATTACTTTTAAAAGTAACTTTCCCCAACACTGAGTACAACTGTAACCAGCATTGGGTCTAATACATTACTAAATAATTACTGTAATTTAATTACTTTTTCCTTGAAAAAGTTAAGGGATTACTTTCTCTAATGTAATTAACATTACGTAATTTCATCAAATACTACATAGACTATTGAATAATTCTGTATAAAACAATTGTGGATTTAACGTCATGTTAAAACGTAGGTTTTTAATGTGTCCTCCTTTTTGGTCAGTTCAAGAGTAATTTATGCAATTGTATATTTATTTTAAAGTCTTAAAAGAGCAGTTTCATGTCTTTCCTTTTTATTGTTCAACTGGTCGAGGTTGATATGGGATTGAGAAAGTAACAAATAATTCAATACTTTTTTACTTAAGTTTGTTACTTTACAGAACTAACTACATTAAGATAAATGTAAATATATGCCCTTTACGTTGCACAAGAAAAAAGAAAAAATACATAAGGTACAACTGTAACCAGCATTGGGTCTAATACATTACTGTAATTTAATTACTTTTTCCTTGAAAAAGTTAAGGGATTACTTTCTCTAATGTAATTAACATTACGTAATTTCATCAAATACTACATAGACCATTGAATAATTCTGTATAAAACAATTGTGGATTTAACGTCATGTTAAAACGTAGGTTTTTAATGTGTCCTCCTTTTTGGTCAGTTCAAGAGTAATTTATGCAATTGTATATTTATTTTAAAGTCTTAAAAGAGCAGTTTCATGTCTTTCCTTTTTATTGTTCAACTGGTCGAGGTTGATATGGGATTGAGAAAGTAACAAATAATTCAATACTTTTTTACTTAAGTTTGTTACTTTACAGAACTAACTACATTAAGATAAATGTAAATATATGCCCTTTACGTTGCACAAGAAAAAAGAAAAAATACATAAGTTAACCAAATAAATTGAACAATTTAACTACATGACATTATACTATAAAACCAATACAAAAAATTCAGAAAAACATGTTATTGCGCAAGGCTGTTTTTGGAATTAGCATTTTATGTGTTTAATAACTTTACAAGTTTTAATGTATGCAATTATATAAATCCATTACACGACGACACCATTTGATCTAAAGGTATAACACCAACCGTAACATATCCAGAATAGTATACCCTATAATGCACAAGGCTTGTTTTTTTTTTCCTGATTATGCATTTATTTTTTTATATACAGTACTAAAACCATATTTTTGATAGGTTTAATATACTGCATCTACTTTAATTCATTAAATTCTGCCACCGTTTGAGATAAAGGTATGTTCGCTAGTGTGGTTCGCTATTTTGGTACCATTCACAACTCCTGAAAACGGAAAATTGCGTACTGTACCGAACCGAACCGCTCGGTGGAAACAAACCATTAGAGCCGATGATTAGTAATCTAATTACACTGCCGAAGATGTAATTAGTAGCTAGTAATTAATTATGTTTTGAGTGTAACTTACCCAACACTGACTGTAACTACAATAACAGGATACAGTGAGCATGTAGCAGGACGAAATTAAAATCTTGAAGGATCTTACAGCTCCAGCAAGACATTCTAACGCTAGCAATCAGGTTAAACACCAGATCGAATTTAACGGGAACGAAAACGAAATCTGTGAGCGACCTTAGATCATGTCATTTTTCCCTTAGCCGAATAAGCAAGTCATTAAACACAATCCACCGGACTTACATACTTCATCCTTTCACAGCCTCATTTTCATTCCCGCCAAAAGTTAAAATCAGCATCACGCCAACACAAGTCGATAAATCCAGTAGCATCTTAATTTAGCATTCTGTGCATGTTTGTTTTGACTAGAACTCGTTTAAAAACTGACCAAGTAGAGATCGTGTTCATGCTCTTTTAAACCTACATCATTTCACTGATATTGATAGTGACAATCCAACTACAAACGTTATATAAAAGCTCCCAATCAACTTCATCTGTAGCTACTGCTGTAAAACCATAAAAGACTATGTAAACAGCTTCCGTAATGTTAGTTTCTATAGCCTCTCGTAAACTATGGTTAAGAACGAGTACTCGAAACTACTGAATCAAAAGTTTACTAGTTCAGAATCAGAACCTGAGGAACGTAACATTTAAATTTGAACGGAATACAATTGGCAAAAGCAACTGGATTCCAGTTTCACATATTGAGAGCATGCAGATCGCAATGAAATGCTGACACAAAGTTCATCATGTCTTGCAGCTTTAATACTGAAAGTGTTGTAAAATGATTAACCAGGAGAGATTGCATATCATACAAATGTTCCATGGACATGTGACAACTCTTAGGCCAACCGGCCTCAGATTTGTGCATTTCCTTCATAATATCAGAAGCCCGAACCCAGAGTCCCAGTTTTCCAATGTTTTTTTATTTCATTGCATGGATTAAGTGAGCCAATGACAGACAATGTTAGCCGCAACACAGACATCATCAGCGAAGGTGGAGCAAACCGGTGCCCGTTTCTCCCAAACATCAGCGCCGGCGTCGAAGAGAAAACAAAAACCTAAAAGAAAACAAAGTCGACGACATGACCGCTGCATCATCGCTCTACTGCATTCGAGCTCAACCAACACGAGTCCGTTCAGTCCGAGAGTCGGACCGAGCCCTAAATCAGCTTCGGCAAGGATCGACAGACACACGAGTTGACAAAACAACTAGAACTGATCTCAGAAAGGAGAAAAGCACAATTTCTACACCAGAAATTCTACAATGGATGACTGTTAGTTTCATTTCATACCCCCAAAACCCCCCACGCCCGCTCAAGATGAGGGTTTCTGAAGCCATTGGCCCTTTTTGAGGTGAAAAGCACACGCACTCGCCAGACCCTCGGCCCCATTGTTGAAGACTTCGAGAGATCGGGTCCAGACGGCTCAGAGGCCCAACACAAACTCAAGTCACATGACGGTTCTTTACTCAAAATAGGGAAAGGGCCAAAAATCTAGATGTGGAATTCCAGGTGCAAATTTTTTAATCCTTAATCGATGGGCTGCTTTACAGGGTTAAGGCTTCGCTCGTTCACTCAGGCCGTGTTCAGGAGGTCCTGGATGGCCTTCTGCTGCGTCTCGTTGAGCGCCGATACACACTGCGTCCAGAGTCCTCCAGAAACCTGGAGAGAAAAACCATGCAGCGCAGTCAGACATTTGACCCGGAAATACATGCAAACTCTGCACAGGTCAACTTGTAAGCAAAAAATAAAATCCTGCCTGTGCTCTGAAATGGACTTTAAAATCAGAAGAACTATAAATATATTTTAAAGCATCTATGATTTTTTTAAACAAGAATAAACAATTCAGCATGTATACGCATATAGCAAATATAAATATTTAAAAGCATAAATATATAATACATAAGAATATTAACATGCATAAATATGAAAAATTTTGCACCATTTACACTATTTATATACATCAACATATCAAATACAAAGCTGAAATGGACTTTAAAATCAGAAGAACTATAAATATATTTTAAAGCATCTATGATTTTTTTAAACAATCTTTAAAGAACAAGAATAAACAATTCAGCATGTATACGCATATAGCAAATATAAATATTTAAAAGCATAAATATATAATACATAAGAATATTAACATGCATAAATATGAAAAATTTTGCACCATTTACACTATTTATATACATCAACATATCAAATACAAATATTTAACTACATGACTAGACAACCGAAATTAATTAAATTTAAAAGCAAATACAATATTTAAATGCATACATTTGAATATTATAATTTTATACACTTATACTGTATATGCAATATAAGAAATAAAAATATACGGTTCACGACTAGGGTGACAAATTAGATGAAATATTTTAAAACATTACAATTTCATTGTAATTCTAACAAGATTAAAGAACAAGGATAAACAATTTGATATTTATAGGCACCAATATAACAATTAGAAATCTACATGAATTTAAAATACTATGCTAGGTTTCCTGAATGCTAAAATTACATGTTAACATGCATAAATCAGCCCTTTGATGTTCAATTTATATAGATATTTATATTTGTTAAACATGCAATTTTATATTGTAAATCATTAAAGCATGGCTGCCATTTTTAAATCTATAAGCACCAATATAACAAATTCAAACAGTAACATTCACCAAGTCATTTGTGTGTTAATATATTAAAAAAAAGAATATATAGACTAGACAAGTCACTCATTCTATGTAGAAAGCGTTTTTAATTTTGCAATTCTGCATCAGTCTGAGGTTTTCTACAGGTGTTGGTCTGCCTGTATGTGATAAAGCAGTCTGTTCACATGACATTAAACTTACTTGTACTTGACGAATCACGTTGGCCAATCGTTTGCTGCAACCGTCTTCACCTTTAATCGATTCATTCACAACACCGTCAGCGATGATGATGAAAATCTTGGGAAGGTTCGTATTATCAGGTCCAAGAACGATGGGATTGTTACTGTAGGAGGAAACAAGCATTAAACTCAGATCTGCATCCAAGACTCCCAGAGTTCACGTCGGCTGACAGACACGCACCTTTCGATGAGGTCACAGAGATAGTTGAAGGTGTGGACAGCTTCCTCTTTATCCTCGTTGAGTGGCAGCCAGGACAGCCAGTGAGGGAGGATCTCGTTGACGCTGACGCACTCTGGGCGGTACTTCATGACTTTGGCCACAGCAGAGATGCAGTTCTCCGTGGCGTTGGCGTTTTCTTTAGCTCTGGAGTCTGGAGACTGGATCACACCCACAAGAAGCGGGACGGCCTCTGGAAGAACCATGACAATGGGAAAGAACAATATGTAGGGACCTATGATGTCCTAGAAGCAGAAAAACACTAATTCACAGAATCCACTAATTAACAAAAACAAAACGCAGAATGTCATTGTGGCATCTGGCAAATTTGGGAGGACAAAAAAAAAATAAATCAAGTGCAAAACTACTGCATCAAACTCAGGGGGGAAAAAAAAACTCACTTTTGATTATTTAGATTTAATTAAGTCCAGAAAAATACAAAAATAAAACATAGGGACCTAAAAGTGAAGTTATTATACTTTCAATAAATGTGTTAAATAATAAGCATCATGATTTCATTTAATTAGACATGCATTTTTATAACTAAAATTTTATTTAATTAAAACTGAATCCAAAAAAAAAAAAAAAAAACTAAATTTTGGGGGTAAAGGATTTCCAAAGAATAAAAAAAAAAATGAAAATAAAAATGTTAAAAAGTTATTACATTTTATAAGTTCCATGACTTCAATTAATTACACATGCTTTTTGATTACTAATGTTTAAATAAAAAAAATAATAACTTGGGGGTTTAAAAATGTGATTGTTAAACTCTTGTTAAATTGTAAAAGTTTCATGATTTCAATTAATTGGATGCGTTTTGCGATTACTAAAAATAAAACCATTAACCAGAATCCAGGAAAAAAGAATTTCAAATTTCAAAGGGCCTTAAAGATGTAATTTAACGTTTAATAAACTGCATAGTCAATTTGATTAAATTAGACATACTTTTTGATTACTAAAATGTAACCATTAGGGGAAAAAAAAAAAAAATCCCAAAAAGCGGAAAGTGGAATCCAGGAAAATGAAAAAATAAACTGGAATTTGGGAACAAATACCACCGACTTCATCGAGCCCTCCTGATGCTCATTCTGCTGGAAAGCATAGAGGACGTCTCACCTGTGAAAGCAGGCCTGTAGCTTTCTCCTCCAAACTGAGCCATGACTCCGACGCCGTACGCGGCCGCCTGTCGCACCTCCGGACTGGTGTCACACAGCGCCTGCATCATGGGCCGCAGGAAGTACTCGGCGTATTTGAAGGAAGATGGGCTGCAGTGCTCGACGATGTCATCGAATATGCACAGACCCCACTGTCTGTCCGCCCAGGGTCTGTGAGGACACTGTCAGGAACACAACACCATAAACACTGTTATTCTATTATTCTACAGAAATATCCACTTTTGGTATGGCGAGATGTCTTCATTAATTTTTTTCCTAACATTTAAACTGATTAACTATATTAGATTACCTTTTGACTTTACGAATACACAAATGTGATCGTGGACCACAAAACCAATCATATAAGGGTCAATCTTTTGAAATTGAGATTTATACATCTGAAAGCTGAATAAATAAGCTTTCCGTTGATGTATGGTTTGTTAGGATAGGACAATATTTGGTTGAGACAACTATTTGAAAATCTGGAATCTGAGGGAGCAAAAAAATCTAAATATTGAGAAAATCATCTTTAAAGTTGTTCAAATTAAGTTCTTAGCCATGCATATTACTAATCAAATTAAGTTGATATATTTACAGTGGGAAATTTACAAAATATCTTCATGGAACATGATCTTTACTAAATATCCTAATGAATTTTGGCATAAAAGAAAAATCAATAATTTTGACCCATACAATGTTTTTTTGGGCTATTGCTAAACGTATACCCCAGCGACTTAAGACTGATTTTTGTGCTCCAGGGTCACAAATGACAGCTTAATGATTTTTTTTTTGTGTGCATTTATTAACCCATAAGGAAGGTGACACCAGTGACAATTCTCATGAAAAATGCATTTGATAAAATGTCTGCTGCAAGACATCAAACCGCAGTTTGTCCATCATGGTATACTCGCTAAATTTGGTTTAATCCATTTGTATTCTAGTTTTTTTTTTACAATTCCCTAAAAATAAAGTACAACTAAAAGCTTCAAATTAAATCATGAGAAATTAGAACATTTCTGATAACTGAAAAGAGACCGTGGACTTATTATGGGCCTTTCTTCATAGATCTTCAGGAAACCGAGAGGACGAAGCCAAGTGATGTCATCAGTGTGGTTTTTATTTCAAAAGAAACGTTTTTTGTTAAACGCTAACTAGAGATGCACCGATTGTAATTTTCTTGGCCGATTCCGATTTTTTTTGTTAGTCCGATCTGCCGATACCGATTTTTGCCGATTCCAATTTTCTTACTAAAAACTATAATTGACGGTCTCAAATTGTCATTTTTTCACTAACCTTATTAAATGTCATCTTTCACATCAAATTCTTACACTCTTTTATTCTAACTGAATTGAAACTGTAGAGCGGTTACCATTCAAATGAAATCAGTATCAACAAACTCCATCTTTGCACTGCAGGAAACACAGAAGCTGCATCTGAAGTGGCATTAGATGCATTTACAGACTGTTTGATGAAGATGAGCTGCCATAAATGCATTAACACCGCAAAATTTCGAATGCATAAAGAATTATTAGATTAAGGTTTAAAAATCTTTAAAAAGAAATGTTGGGAAAAATGCAACGAGTTTTAAATATGAAACCACACCAATAGATGGCGGCAAATGAATTAGGGCTATCAATTTTTAAAAATTAAAAAATAAATTAAAAAATCCACATTCGAATGCAAAAACGTTGCATTCGAATTCTAGGTCCGTGTCAGCCGTCAGGCAGGCTTCTAAGTGGTGCACGAAATGCGACGACAATGTAAGCGTCAAGTTATTACCCACTAGATGCGGCGCTGCTACGTTGTTCATTCAATATATAGCGGAAAACGAGAGCATCAGTGTGGCGAATGTGGTTTACGGAGAAACTGAAACCAAGCCGTTCACACAGAATGCATATTTACCACATTTTCTAGCGGGGCATCTATCAGCGTTGCACTCGCGTCTCGCACAAGAGAGCCGCACGTTTAGAAAGCCATGTAAAATGAATGCAAGTTCAACTTAAACCATGTCTCAAGACTTTATGGCAGTTTTCCCCATCCCACTGCATCTTGTGTTTTTAAATGAAGAAAGTCGCCTACTCTTTGGTGATTGGTTTTCGGTTCTTTGCATTAAACTATACATACATTGTGCTCTTTTTTTTCTAATTGTTTAAGCAACTATTATATATGGTTCATAAACATTAAACATTATGCACTTTTTTTTCCCCCAAAGGTAGTCGTGTTATTTTATTATGCTTTGAAGAAACGTGCATTAGTGATATTTTGCTCTTGCGGCCTCCGAAGAGAAGCCAAAAGCTTTTTTCCCCCCCTAACTGAAATTATGCCTTTTCAATTCAAACAATTCGAATTTTGATCATATTTAAGTGGAAAATTCGAATTTAGTTTTTCAGTCATTTTGACAGCCCTAATGAGTCCTTTAGTCCTTCATTCAACAGATTCGTTCAAACAGCCGATTCATTCAGAAACATGGCAAGTGACTGTCTTTGTGAAAGGGTCACTGAATCAATGACTCACTTGATTCGTTCAAAAACGCAGAATCATTCAGTAACGAAACACTGCTGTGTTGCTCGGCGACAAAACAGTTCTGCTGTGGCTTTGATTGGAACTATTTTCATCAGTGAAATGGAGCAAAAACAACCAATATTGTGTCTAAAATGTAAGTCTCTTAATTTTAACTTGTTTATTGAACTACTATTGTATAAAAACACATTGCAATCGTGTTGAAACATTTTGG